AACGAAAATCGCTGAAAGCCTAAAATAATAAATTTAAAAAAAATGCGAGCACCAATGTCAAATCTAGGACTTGAACCTTGACGAGCTTGGGATACCATTATCCTCGCACCACAGGTCGGGTTGGTTCGCAGTGGCACACTCGATTCATTCATTGCAATAACGATGGCTTATATGTAATGGAGGCTTTGACCATGACAAAGGCTTTAGAGGATGTGGTGGTGATTTTCTTGCATAAGAAATGACTTGGAAAGTTAAATCGTGGCTGGGAAGAGAGAAGTTGACGGATGCAAGAGGATTGACAATTGGATCCTCTAGGAAAGAATAGCATGGAAAAAGAACCGAGTAATTTAATGTAAGAGAAATAAAATGTAGGGTTCATGTATTGAGAGCATCTCTAGCAGATGCCACAAAAGCTCACCGCCTGCAATATATGCTGGTCATTTTGCAGGATCGGGCATTTTTCGGACAAAAAGATCCACTAAAAATAGGCCGGTACGTAAAAAAAATTACAGGTGGGCCACAAAAACGCCACTCTGGTGCTATATCTCCGGTTCCGGTCGGGATTTAGGGTTACCAAACCCTATACCTCCGCAGCAAAATCGCTCGCCCCGCCGTTAGCCATCTCTGCCTACGGCGTAAAATCCCGCCTCTGCTCCGCTGTTTTCCACCTACCCAATGGCCGGTGCTGCTCGCGAGCATGGCGGGCGTGGCGGGTCACCGCCGCGCAAGCTCGCATGGCACGACACGAAGGCCGGCAGCTCCAGCCGGCCCATCGTCAAGCCATGGTGATCCAAGCAGGTGCCGGATGGCTGATTCTGAGCTCCTCTCAGTGGAGCGCGCGGTGGTGGCTGGAGAAGAAGGCGCCGCCGCAAAGAAGGACCACGCCTACGCCCACGCGTGCCGCAAGTCGGCGGAGAAGTTCTACCTCAGCGTTGATGATTGAACCGGCCTCCCCTAGGTTTAATTTGTAGTTTGATCTATGTTTAGCTATGTATGAACTCAAGTTGTGTTGATGAACTTTGTAGCGCAACTAGTTTCTAAATTCCCAAATTATAAGTGTCACATGTGTGGCACCAAGTAACACCGCCATGATGTTTTTATAACTAAATTTGCAGTACGAACTATAGCGGATTTGTTCTGACTGAACGAATATCACCGGAAGTCTGAAATAAATTTAGAAAAATGCGAGCACCAATGTCAAATCTAGGACTTGAACCTTGATGGACTTTGGATACCACTATCCTCATAACCATCCCACCACAGGTCGGGTTGGTTCGCAGTGGCACACTCGGTTCATTCATTGAGATAACGATGGCTTATATATATGTATATGTAATGGAGACTTTGACCATGACAAAGGCTTTGCAGGATGTGATGGGGATTTTCTTGCATAAGAAATGACTTGGAAACTTAAATCATGGCTGGGAAGAGAGAAGTTGACGGATGCAAGAGGATTGACAATTGGCTCCTCTAGGAAAGAATAGCATGGAATAAGAACCGAGTAATTTAATGGATGACAATAAAATGTAGGTTCATGGATTGATGTATTGGGAGCATCTAAGCTCACCGCCCGTAATATGCTGGTCATTTTACAGGATCAGGCGTTTTTTCGACCAAAAGATCCACTAAAAATAAGCCGGTACGTAAAGAAAATTACAGGCGGGCCGCAAAAACGCCACTCCGGTGCTATATCTCCGGTTCCTGTCGGGATTTAGGGTTACCAAACCCTATCCCTCCGCGGCAAAATCGCCCGCCCCACCACTAGCCATCTCTGCCTACGGCGTAAAATCCCGCCTCTCCTCCGCCGTTTTCCTCCTACTCAATGGCCGGTGCTGCTCGCGAGCATGGGGGGTCACCGGCGCGCAAGCTCGCATGGCACGACGCGAAGGTCGGCAACTCCTGCCGGCCCGTCGTCGAGCCATGAAGATCCAAGCAGGCGCGCGACCGCAGCTGCATCTCCCGCAGCAGCGGGCGGAGCCTGTGGGCCCGCTTCGACAAGCTCAACGATGCACTTTTCCCGCACACTGTGAGGTGCCGGATGGTTGATTCCGAGCTCCTCTCAGTGGAGCGCGCGGTGGCGTCTAGAGAAGAAGGCGCCGCCGACCGACTCGCCGCCGCAAAGAAGGACCACGCCTACGCCCAAGCGTGCCGCAAGTCGGCGGAGAGTTCTACCTCGGCAGTGATGATTGAGCCAGCCTCCCCTAGGTTTAATTTGTAGTTTGATCTATGTTTAGCTATGTATGAACTCAAGTTGTGTTGATGAACTTTGTAGCGCAACTAGTTTTTAAATTCCCGAATGATAAGTGTCACACGTGTGGCACGAAGTAACCCCGCCCTGATGATGTTTTTATAACTAAATTTGCAGTACAAACTATAGTGGATCTGTTCTGCCTGGACCTTCAAGTTCCCCTAAGACGAATTTGCAGTACCAGATTATACCAGACGTGCTAGAGATGCTCTGATGTCTAGGTCTCAACTCGCACGGCACTTTAGTTAACCTTCACTAAGCTTCTTCTTTTTTGCGAAAACTGTACTAAGCTTTTTGGTCCTGACAAGCAGCTCAAGTCTATAAATAAAAGCAGCACATACACGTATCGCATAGCATCAAAGCACAGCCGAAAAGACCAGCAACATGGCCCGCCTAATGTTAGCCATTCTCCTCATCTCTCTAGCTTTGAACCCCTTGTCATCTGCAACGGCAGTTGCTAGCACCCACACCAACAGAGAAGCTCTGCTCTGCCTCAAGTCCAGCCTCCACACTCCCACCCGAGCTTTTGATACATGGAAAAGCACCACCTCACCGGATTTCTGCACTTGGCACGGCGTCACATGCACAACAAGGACAGGGCAAGCACCCCTCGTGGTGGCCTTGGATATGGAGGCGGAAGGCCTCTCCGGTGAGATACCAACCTGCATCTCCAACCTCACTTCTTTGGTAAGAATCCACTTGCCAAACAACACCCTCTCTGGTCATATCCCACCCGAACTTGGCCGTCTGTCCGAACTCCGGTACCTAAACCTCAGTTTTAATTCGTTGAACGGCACCATCCCGTCCAGCCTTGGTACCCTTGGGAAACTTTCTGCTCTAGACCTAGGCAGTAACGGATTTTCTGGTCAGATTCCGACGCTGTTGGGGAGCTCGCTGGCTCTAGAGTCGGTCAGTCTGCCCAACAATCTTCTTGATGGAGAAATCCCACATTCACTAGCAAATAGTTACTCCCTCCGTTACCTTTCCCTAAGAAACAATAGTATTGATGGGGCCATCCCTCCGTCCCTCTTCAACAACTCAATCATTACAGAGATACACCTTCGAAACAACAATCTTTCCGGTACAATTCCACCTTTCATGAAGTTTCCTTCGAAGCTCACATACCTAAGTCTTACCGGAAATAGCCTTACTGGAGTCGTGCCACCATCCGTGGCAAACCTCTCATCCCTTACCTCGCTCTTGCTTGCCGATAACCAGTTGCAAGGATTCATTCCAGATTTGGGTAAACTTTCAAGCCTGAAAAACCTCGATCTCTCCACCAACAATCTGTCAGGGACAGTGCCACCCTCAATTTACAATTTGTCTTCGCTGAACTTTCTTGGGATGTTTGGCAATAATCTTGGAGGAACATTGCCCTTTGACATGGGTAACACACTTGCTAACATCAAATCACTGTTTATGCAAGATAATCATTTTTGGGGAGACATCCCTGCCTCACTACAAAATGCCTCCACCATGACGTATATCCATCTAGGCAACAACTCTCTGACTGGGGTGGTTCCTTCTTTCAGCTCCATGGAAAATTTGGAGTTTGTGATGTTGTACTCAAATCATCTCGAGGCTGGAGACTGGACATTCTTCTCCTCTTTGGCGAATTGTAGACATCTTCTAGAATTTAACGTAGGTGAAAACAACTTGTGTGGGGATTTACCAGCAAATTCCATAGCAAATCTGCCCAAAAGCTTGACCGCTCTAACTCTTCGGTCAAACAACATATCTGGCACCATCCCCTTGGAGATTGGAAATTTGTCTAATCTTAACATGTTGTATCTTGATAGAAATCTTTTCATGGGGTCTATACCTCCTACCCTTGGTCAGCTACATAACTTGGTTGTTCTTAGTCTACCACAAAACAACTTTTCTGGGGAAATACCACCTTCCATTGGCAGCTTAAATCAACTGGAAGAACTTTATTTGCAAGAAAATGATTTGAGTGGAATCATACCTGAAAGTTTAGGCAGCTGCCAGAAGTTGTTGGCACTAAACCTTTCTTGTAATACCCTTGGTGGAAGCATAAAAGGACATATGTTGGCTAGGTTGGAACAGTTAAGTTGGTTACTTGATTTATCACACAACCAGCTCACAATGTCCATACCACTAGAGATGGGTAGCTTGATAAACCTTGGTTCCTTGAACATCTCTCACAACAATCTCACGGGGAGAATCCCGTCCACCCTTAGCGCATGTGTTCGGTTGGAAGCACTTCGTGTAGAAGAGAACATCCTGCAAGGAGACATTCCACAATCACTAGCAAACTTGAAAGGCCTCAAAGTGTTGGATTGCTCCAGTAATAATCTATCTGGCACAATCCCGGAGTTCCTTGGGACCTTCACCTCTCTGATGTATTTGAATATGTCCTTCAATGACTTCCAAGGGCCACTTCCCACTGCTGGAGTGTTTGCTAATAGAAGTGGTAGTTTTGTCCAAGGAAACCCACACCTGTGTGCAAACATTGCAGTACAAGATTTGCCTAGGTGCTTTGCTTCAACATCCACACAAAAACACAAGTTCGTCATTCCTATCCTGATAGCTCTGTCAACTCTCGTTGCACTTGCTTTGCTCTTGGGGGTGTTCAATTTTTGGTTGAGAAGGAGATACAAATCCAGTGAGAGAATTGGCCATTCATACATGGAGATGAAAAGGATAACATATGGTGACATAATCAAAGCAACGGATAGTCTTTCTCTAGCCAACGTAGTTGGCTCCGGGCAATTTGGGACTGTCTACAAAGGTTGGTTCGACGCGGAAGATGGTACGGTTGCTGTTAAAGTCTTCAAGCTCAATCAGCACGGTGCATTGCATAGCTTCATTGCTGAGTGCAAAGCATTGCAACACATCCGTCACCGGAATCTCGTGAAGGTTATAACTGCATGCTCAACTTATGACCCAGTGGGAAATGAGTTCAGGGCTCTAGTCTTTGAGTATATGGCCAGCGGTAGCCTTGAAGACAGACTTCATAATCACAAGTGTGGTGATATGAGTTTAGGCGCAATGATATGCATATCAGTTGACATTGCTTGTGCTCTTGAATACCTCCATAACCAATGCATCCCACCAGTTGTTCACTGTGATATGAAACCAGGCAACATACTTTTCAACAACGACGATACGGCATGTGTCTGTGACTTTGGTCTAGCAAGGCTAATTCATGGATGTTCATCTGGAGAGCAGAGCGGCACAACAAGCATAGTTGGACCAAGGGGATCTATTGGGTACATAGCTCCTGGTGAGTATGTTTTACAAGCACATTATGTTAACGAAATCTAGTATGATTAACTATATCAGCTGCTAGATTCTTTTTATTAATATACATGTTTCACTTTTGTTCTCCGCTGAAGAACTTTTCGTTTCAAAACATTATTGCAGAGTATGGCATGGGCAGTGAAATCTCGACCGAGGGTGATGTCTACAGCTATGGCATTGTTCTTTTGGAAATGCTAACACATAAACGACCTACTAATGAAGAGTTTAGTGATGGCTTGACGCTCCGCAAGTATGTAGATGCATCGCTGTCACGAACCCAAGACATTCTTCACCCTAGTCTTATTTCAGAGATGGGAGATCAGTGTGTCGGTCATATCCCAAACTTGCAAGAACACAACACATTTGCATTGAAGGATATATGTGCTCTCCGGCTCCTTAGACTTGGCTTATTATGCTCTGCGGAATCGCCGAAGGATCGACCAACGATGCATGATGTCTACGGTGAAGTAACTGAAGTAAAAGAGGCATTTTTCTCTATGGACAACTGAAGCAATGACCTTATACACATTATTAAGGCAAAAAAGGCGGTCGATGAAGTTGAAGCTAGTTGCTTTACGGCATGGCAATATGTTGATAATTTGCTATCTTGCCATCTTTTTTCCTTTTTAATAAGTCGATTTGTTTGGCTCTCTGTAATAATTTGGTTTTCTACGCTACAGATGTCTCGGCAAGATCTTTTGAGAATCTTTCCACGTTAATAGAGCCCTTTGCCTGATAATGATGGGTTTCTACGACACACACACCTGTCAGATGCACTTAAACCAATATTTAATGCAAAATATCGGTTGGAAGTGAAAAGGTCATTCTCCAGTTCACCTCTCGCCACAAACTTATATAATTTCTACAAAAATATGATCAATTTGTGACTTAGACAAGAAAAACAGATATATAAATGAACAACCCTCATTTGATATAGCCAGAGTTGTATTTTCTGTACAAGTCACATAAGTCATATTTTTCAAAGTTTTTGCAAATGCATATTATATAGCCTAATTTACGACCATGAATTATTTCACATTTTTGGAAACTGAGAAAAAAGAAATACTGGGGTGACAGTATTACTTTCCCCTGTGCATGAGGTCACATGTCACTACTTTATCTTAACATGAAGACCTGTAGTAGAACAAAGGAAACACTTGAAACATAATTATAAACATGACATGTTTGGCAGTTTCAAATTAAACCATGTGGTAAACTGCAAAAGGCGTAGCTGAACTAATCTGCACTCTGAAGTTCTCCATATACACAGATTGTCTGGTCATAAATGCGAGATCATCGGTTGCTGCATGCCAAGGTTGCAACCACACCAAAATGATGTATCAAATCACCAGACAAATACTCTTTACACAACACACATACAGAAAAACGCAGAACCATAAATCGCGGGCTCCTGGTCGCATGCAAGTACATCAACTTCTAACATTCGGCTTCCACATTCTTATCGCACGAAATAGCATAGTGCGTCACCCAAGAGCCTTTTTTACACTCTCCGTTCAGCAGGGAGGAATGGTATACCTGCATCTGACCAGCACCTAAGAGCACCCCAAACATTTACTTACTGGGCCTAGGAACTCTAGAAAGCCGTGCGTTGGTGGGGGTGAGTTTTCATCTGTTTTACAGGGCAGGTGTTTGAGGAATGCCCTGACTGCACCCGTTACGCCGTCTTCAGATTCCATGGCCTTGGCAAGCTCCACAGCCTTTTCTTTCACCTGAAAATCACATGGGGAAAATACATGTTTGCTGTAATTTTACTAATAGGAGATCATACAATAAGTTCTGAATCAGGGAAGTTTAGTTTAGTACTGATTTGTGTATATGTCCCAAAGCTGTTCCAATCTGAGAACTTAATATCTGAATATGAACATTCTAACTATCCAATTTAACGGACCGGTTCCTGTTTCTTGGCAGTAACCAGTCTATTCCTGGCTTTTGGAACCCTGCTGGGTACCAAACTACAAATGCACCAGTGCAATTAGGAACGGAGGGAGTAATTATCAGTATATCAGTATATCAGTATATCATAACCATATCTGCAACACTGCCTGCAGCCTACCTATGCACATCTGCGTCCATATTCTTGTTATCTATTTTTGCGATATGAAACAAAAGAAAAAGTCTCATCTGCCCAAGCGCAAAAAAGTTGTAGAGTTACCTCTGGATCCAACATGAATTTTATAGCATCAACCAACTTCTGCAAAGTGAATTGATCAACCGGTATAGGCGAAGGCCCTACCCCTCTAGCATGCACCCGCTCACCCCAGAATGGTTGGTCGCCAAAGAAAGGTACAATAGTTGTAGGACACTTCAAATCACCAAAACACTGGGTTAGAACTAAACTAAATATAAGAACTGGTCCAAAAATAGCAAATATTATGATCAGGTGTTAGTTGCCAGTTGCTTAGCTAGTTCTAAGAGTAAATGCTGCTAATAAAAGTTGTCTCTGGCAACTGCAGGCATGCCCTGATCAGGAATTGTTTTCAGCTGATTCTAACTCTACCTAACAATAATTGGCTTAGAAAAAGTAATACTGTAGTTGCATCAAGAATAGTGTGGAAGTCATGTAGCATAGTGATGAATAGCTCGTAACGTAGTGCAACAGAGAGAGAGAGAGAGAGAGAGAGAGAGAGAGAGAGAGAGAATACCGCTGCTTTCAGGCCGGCAGCCGTCGTTCCAGCACCACCATGGTGTACCTGCGGAGGTACAAAAAGGTGTGAGCCTTCCTCTCAACAGAATAAACAGACACTAGTGGCACCATAGTGGCAACACTGGAGTTCTTTCACCAAATTTTCTTAAGTATGACCCATGAAAACTGTTGGTTAATTAGTTTTGCAAAATCAGGAAACATTCGATATTTGATGATCACTAAAAATACTATACGAATGAAACATGATATGATCCATGCACTAAGCCACCAAGAGTAACAAGAAAAGGCTTACCACTGCCTTACACTGCAGGAAAAGCCAGTCGTGAGGGCAGTTGTCAAGAACATATATGGAATCTTTTGGTTCTGCCACTGCAAAAGGTTCAAGACTCAGGATGGACTCAAAATATATGCCCACAACCAAATAGTGCAACATGCTCACGAATAACAAGATGAACTTACATGTTCCGAGACCACCCCAACCCTTGTTAATGATACCTCTCTGTCCAGTCATTTCGAGTGCTTTGACAATGGTTTCAGTCATCTTTGCTGGATCTTGAACTGGCTAGTGTATCAGAAAAAACAAAATGAAAGAATCAGGTAAGTTATTATGGTGGCTTTTCAAAAGCACCTAGCATCTGAATTTTAAATTTCACAGTTAGTTGAGACTATTTTTTTAGATGTAATGTTAACAGCAAACCCCTATTTGAATTAGTAACAATTCCCCTAACTAACTAGAGCTACTAAACTATCGAGCTAAACTACCCTCCGCCTAAAGCACACAAATAACTTCTTCTGCTGTGAGATGCTACAAAGATTCCAAGTGGCAAACCAGCTTCTTGTTACTACTATAGGTAGTGAAAAAAAAGCATGTGCAAAGTCGCTTTCTGCTGTAAAACATGAAGAGTTTCACTAATCCACAAAGTGCATCACTGCCAATGGCATCAGGGTAATCAAGAAAGATCCGCTATGCAACTACATAACTAACCCTGTTTTGCACCATATCAGTACAATAAGTTAAACAGAGCAGGTCAAATAATGCACCATATCAGAATTGGAATATTGGAACTTAAAACCAACATGCAGTAAATATAAGAAAGGTCAAACTGATCTTACAAGGCTACCAAAACCAACATAAATGGGTTTGTCACCCGCTTCAAGCCATTTCACAAGTTCTTCAGGTGGTACGTAATCAGACGCAAGATCGAGAAAGCAAAATCCAACAACATCGATCTTGGGGCCCCAGTCTGCATTCAAATAGATGACAAATTTTAACATTGAGCCACAAACCATTAGCAACAACAACATCTGAAAAATCCAATGCAATAGTTTTCTCAATAATTTACTCCACAATTCATAACTGCAGTTATAATCTCGAACACGAATTATAGAAGCTCCTCAAATAATTAGCAGTGATAAGATATGCACATATTCTAGCAAGTACTAAGCACTTCCTTCTAATTTTAAATTTTAAATAACAGCATTTCCTGAAATTTCAATCTGCTAGCTTGTAGTAAAGAGGCAATTGCGATGCAACCGCTCAGCACCCAAAAATTTAAGCTTGCCATAATATAGACAAGTCTGAAGGAGTGCTGCAATGACTCGAGTATGCAACATCACTGGTGTCAACCATCAGCTAGTTAACTTACCACGTCCAATTCTTCTAAATACTAGCAAAAGGATGCAATGGGAGAAACACAAGACCAAATGAACCTGTTACTATCTTGACTTTGCCTTTATTCTGTTTTGTAAAATGGGATAGAAACAAGATCATTCGACCATATAAATTACTTTTAACTTTGGCAAATTGGCAATTGAAACAATCAAGAAAGACAAGGTTAAGCATGGTCTAGTTTCAGCTCAAATTAATATGAATCAAGCACCTTTCGGTTTTGGGACAAGGTGAGGGCTCCAGATGTATCCATGAGGAATGTCACTTCCAGAACCCTGTGCACCACTTAGGTATGTTACTGGACGCAGCTTCAACTTCTTTTTCCTGAATTCGTTTATCATATCACGTATCCCAAGCCAAATCATAGAGTCAACAATTTGGTAAGAAAGCTGCAAATGCAGACAAACACGAGGTATCAGAGCAATTTTATGGATGAAAGAAACATACGGATTTGCTCTATGTTTTGCAATATCGATTTCACTTTCATTGACACGTGACGAATTAAAAAAAAAACAGCCTTGCCTCAATGCTTCGAAAGTACTAACACTGTAGGTTTTCTTAATTTTTATAGCATGAAACAACGTGACCACTATAGATTTCATATATAACCAAGGTTCATGCATATGTGCGTGAACTACTCAATTGGGATTCACTACAGCAAAAAAGAAAACACCCTAGTGATGTACTACTCCATACGATCAGATGGACCTCAAACTTAAACACATCCATAGACAAGGTGGAAGACAAATAATAACAGATGGCAAAGTTTTTCTTCTTTATTTCTTTCTTTCTTAAAATAATTTCCACATGTACCGATTTTTGTGTTCCTTTTCATGAAATTTGCAATGATTTAGAAAAGCTTCACATTAGTCACTCGATACCCAGAACAAATAAGTAAATACAATGTGAACTCACTCGATATCCAGCTGATGTTTTCACTCGAGAAAGAGGATGAGGAAATTCACTAGTTGGCCTGAACAAGCAGCATATGTTAGATCTCCAAATGACAGTATTCATCAGCAACTGTCTTTCAAAGAGGAAGCAGAACAAAAATGACTCACGTCCATGGCATGGTAAAGAATATATGAATGGGTACTTTTAGTGCCTCTGCCACATGTGTATGTCCTGAATAAATACTGAGGTCAGCAGGATGACATAGTTGTAATGGTAAAATATGGTAATCAAGTTGCTTATCCAGATCATAAAAGGGGAAAATATGCAAAAATAAAATTTAGTGATAGAAAGGTGCACTTAACACATAAGGGACACAACAGACCTCATAATATATGGACGCGTATGGAAAATCACACCATTCAGCATGGACCAAAACCCTCACATTTAAAAACTACAAGTTGAAACAGAGAACCACTCCATTGTGGTTTTGCCATCAGTCGAATAGCTGAAACTAAAAGGTTTTAGTATAATTTCATCTCCTAACAATTGCCATGCCCTATTTGGAAAGAGGAAAAGGTCCATACTCCACTACCTACTTGTGGATGGTTCTGTATAGCACTCTCTAATTTAACCAGCATTTAACGCCTTTGACTTGAGCAGACCAAATTATAACATGGATCTGGTTTTTAGGGGATGATTTCACCATGTTGGTAGGTTTACGTAGTGATATAAAGGTTTTAAATGTTAACTCACCCCTCAAGATAAGATGTCCTTTTGATGATTTTCACATACAGAGAAAGTGGGTGAGTGTTTATTGTCATAAGATATAGTAATCTCAATAAAAAAGAGAGCTGGTCCGATTTTGGTCGTATAAATCAAATTTATGCATGAAGTCATGAGGTGCAGTTCATTCAGATTATGACTATTCCTCTTTGTTCTTTCTTTTTCTCTTTATCATTCGTAATCTTGAATTCTAAGAATGGAAAACAACAGAAATTAACCAAACATGTGCCCTGGCAGAAACGAGATGCCTCTAGAGGAAAGGTGAAACCAAAAGATAACTGTATGAGTTTACAATTACAAAAGCAAAGCTGTTATCAGTATGGCACAAGACAAAGCACACCATGAACATGCTAAAGCATAAATAATAAATAGATCTATCTCTACAAAACTGGTCTGCAATGAAATTAATCTCAACAACACAACAACAACAACGAAGCCTTTTAGTCCCAAACAAGTTGGGGTAGGCTAGAGCTGAAACCCATAAGATCTCGCAACCAACTCATGGTTCTGGCACATGGATAGCTAGCTTCCACGCGCCCCTGTCCCTGGCTAGTTTTCTTTGGTGATATTCCAGTCCTTTATTGAAATTAATCTCAAATCAGAAAATAACCAAACTGAATGTTGTAAGAATAAATTGTGCATGAGTGAGGTTGATAGGATTCAAACAATATTACAGAATCTTATGATCATGTGGGAGAATTCAATCCCGATCCTATATAAGAACCATGTAGAATAGTATTTTGCACCTTGTACTCATTATAACCAAGATTTTGGAGGCACGATCATAAGATGACCCTCATCCTGTCTAGAACTGATATTTTACGGTTTGCTACTGAGGTTGTTTACTATTAATAAATGAGCTTTGTGTTTCAGTCATAAAAAATAATTCAAAGTAAACAAAATATACTGACCATATGCTGGTGGGTTCGCAATAATTGCATCCACTTTGAAAGCAATACCGGTATCAGGGTCAGGATCCTTGCATGCAGGCAGTAGGGAAAATATAATTTCTTTCATTTGTTTTCTTTGAACAGGAATTTCTGATGGGCCTGAAGGTAGGAACCCTTTATTCTTCACCATGTCTGCTCGAAGTGAATGTAGCAAAAATATTAATCTTCATCTGATATGGAAGTTAGAAAAAAATAATCACCAAAAAACATACATTCAGCAAGTACTTTTGGATCTCCACCCAGTGGAAAAAACTCCAGCCCAGCTGTGAGTATGAACTCCTTATAGTTAGCATGAGTGGCTAATCTCACACGGTGTCCATAATCCTACAATAAAGGTGATAACTTATCTTTGTCATACTAAAAAAAACATAAATATGATGACATTAAACTGGAAGAGAAGCTCATGGAACTAATCGGAGTTAGCAAACAATAATATGAGATTAAAAATAATATTAGCTTGGGCTAACCTGTAAGCGTTTTCCTATTGCAACAAATGGCTGAACGTCTCCCCTTGTACCCACGATAAGTATAACAATCTGTATTGGAGGTCTGTATGGTATATCTGATCCATCTAATGATTCTTCAACAACAACATCCTCATAGCCATCCACTGCTCCAACGTCAATTGGAGTCGCTTCTAGAGTACTTGGTACATTAACAACCACAGTTCCATCATCCTTCACTGTAGCTATTCGATTTAACATTTTGAGCTGTGTGAAGTTAAAAATGCAGAAGATTAGAAGAGAGAGAAATCCAGCACCAGACACGAAGTAGTAAATCTGGCCATGTTTCAAGCTTCCATGCAATGCATTGTAATATGTCAAAACTTACAAATTTTAATATACTATGTTGTTCCAACACACTAAAGACTCCAACTTCTATAGAGATGCAATTACATATATAAAAACTATCTCCCAAACATATTAATGACAATCTTCATACAGAAGCTAACATAATTAACAATTCAATACCTCCTAGATTTACATAACCCACACATGGACCGTGTCAAGAAGAAGCTACATTTCATCATACTAAGGAAGATAAGAGGGCCAGCTATACACACCTTTTTCCTTATGGAAATCTTATCATCCAATAACTGTTTAGTAGGATCATCAGCTGGATTATTTTGTTTGCGCCTCTCAGTTTTTGACCTTTCCAGATTTGATGGACCGGTAGTTTCAGTAGTTATCTCTGTATCCTTGATCACCCCCGGCATAGTGCTTGATCTATGGAGGTTTCCGTTATCTGCAAGGAAGGATGACTTGAGGGTTGGATTAGAAGGAAATGATAACATTTATTATTTCCAGTCACATTATCACAAGATAAACATTAGAAACTTGGACTATTGTACGAACAGAAAACCAACTAATCAGATCTCTTAGCACACCCTCTTACTGGGTGCCGGCGTGCTACTTTTCTACAGTCGATGCAACTGTAAAAGTTCAGAAACATTTTGTCTGGGTAAAACTATACAAATAAATAAATGTACTCTACTACTGTCTAGTGAACAAGCAATTTCCTCAGAATAGCAAGCACTATTATAGGCAGAAACTTACAATCTAAAAAAAGTGCCTAGAAAAGCGACGGGAACAGGAATAGATGGCGGCAAAAGGAGAAACGACAAATGGTTCAGACCGGCACAACCCACAAGTCATGTATAATAGTGTCATAAAGCCCACCCGGCGCTTAGGGTGTTACCCTGTGTGTCGCGTTCCCCTACGCGGGGGCAATGAGCCAGCGACGGTTACCGCAAGCAGAGCCAGAAGAGCACAGCCTGCTTGGCAGCAGAACCAAAATTGCGACCTCTATGTTTCAGATTCAGTGGCGGGTGTAAAGAACGCTGGGTAAAAATCAATTTCCAGCAACGGAAATTGCCGGATGGAAAATATCCGGGGCAATGCAGAGCATATCCCGCATGTGGCTCTGCCTAAATTAGCAGGCCAGCCTCCCCTGATTCAGGAGGGGCTCCCCTTGGAAAGTCAGAAGGACGGAAAATTGGCTGATCCTCTCTGGCTATATCTGTCTTTCTGTGTCTATTTTTTGGTGGGAGCAGAACCCTAGTTGGTCAGACGACTCGTCCCCCCGTGCTGTGGAGTCCGGCGACGAGAGATGGCGGGGGAGGCAGGGAGCAGCCGCCGCCCGCCCTAGACCCTAGGAGACGAGATGAGGCCCTTTTACCTGAGGCGGAAGACGTCGACGGCGCCGACGGGCCGGGGGAGTCGTCGGTGGGGCGCTCGCCGTTGTGCGCCTCCGCCGTGGCCGCGGCCCCCTCTCCTCCTTCTTTAATCTCCTCCACGACCTCGTCGCCTCCCCCGCCTCCGGTCGGCTCGGCAGCGGCCATTTGTAGCCCCTGCCCTCCGCCCCCTGTTGAGTGGGGGGTCGGGAGATTCGAGGCTTGCGGCGGCCGCTCCCTGCCCGTCCCCCTCCGGCCCCTCCGACTCCCGACCCCTGCTGCGTTGCGGCGGGGAGGGGGAAGGGAGCGGCGGGCGGATTCGCGGCCGCCGACGCGCGAGGAGGAGGAGATGCGGGAGGGGTGAGCAAGGAAGGAATTTGCTGCCTAGCTGTGCCGTGCTGCTGCGAATCCGACCTGAGCTGTAAGCGAGGATCATGAAAGGAATTTAGTTAACCCGATTTAATAATTAATTAACAGCTTGGCTGGATTAATTAGTACTCCTACTAGCAGAGATATTTTGTTTTGGTTTGAGGGGAGACGGAGTGGATCCCGGCGGAGCAGCTGGAGGAAGGGAAAGCAGCTGCAACGTACCTCTTCCTAGCGGCGGCACGTTGCGTGACGACACGTCGCGGGAGGAAGGGAAAGGAAGCCCACCTGGTGAAGAAGTGGGTGGCCTCACTGACCGACCGGCGACGCCCGTTGCGCTGCTGGCCGCCGTCCACCATTGCACCAACCTTGATTGGTTAGTTATAGTCATAAAATCCGTGCTCAGTCCCATCCTGGTAATGCGTCGGTGCCACACTTGCCGCAAGAACACACACGATGCGAGCTCTTGTCTTGCAATCCGTGTCCGTGTCTAGCCTTCCTATCAAAAGTCCACAGGCGATACTGTACTACAAGCCACATAAAGATCTTGCACGCTAGCGGCGCCCAACACTTTCAGATGGCCCCGAATCTAACTCCTCCCTCACACAGCATCTTGTATGCTGATGATGTTGTGTAGGCTCCAGATGCGTCCCACGCCCAAACTGGGCTGCCTTCCATCTTTGTATCCAATTGCACTTCCGAAAGGATATATCCCAAAGGGTGATGAACTGGGCTGAACCCTTCGTGCATAGGTCGCCTGCTCCTGGAAAGTGTACGAATGGGACAGAGACGCGTGTGTGCTTGTATTCAATGCAATCGTGTAGGTAAGTGAAGGATACGACCCGGCAAACAGATCATACGGTGACGGCGCCGTCTAGACAAACAGCACGATGACGGTACAACGTGCATGTCTTTCGTTGGTACATAACGCAGGGGGCGATGGTACGGTGACGGCGCATGTATCCCGCAGCGACACTGGGTGAAGCTCGGCTCGCATGAGATCGGAGGCCTGGCACGTGACGCACGAGGGAGTCGGCTCTAGGCAGGCTGCTTCTCTTCGTCTTGCTCAGTGCGATGACAACGAACGACGCTCGGCTCCAGATCTCCTTTGCCCTTCTCGCTTGCTACCGCCGCCCTAGCCAATCTCGGTTCCCGATGCCACGGCCTCTCTAGTCCGCCGCTGGGAGATGATCGCAGTGGTCGGGAACATCGACCGTGAACTACATGGTGAGCAACCAGCACAATCTCTGCTAGCGATGTTTGCTACTCCAATTTTGAGAACCTGGGTTTGGTCATAATGTTGAATTGAGATTTAAAATAAGGTGTGTTAAAATTTCGTTTCCGTGATGGATTAATTCGTGTTTCATTGATCACACATGGTGAACAATTGCACGATACATCTAGTGCTGCTGTCTGTACTCTGTAGTGCAATGCATTGGGGTTGGCATACGGCCTTCGGAAACTGAAAGAAAGTAATCTTAGGAGCAAAGTGAGGCCAGAGATTCTAACTTTACTGTTGAAAATTGAGATAAACTGATGATTCTAACTTTGCTGGTGTAGGGCAGTGGAGTTGTTAGGTGGGATTGACGACTCTAACTTTGTTGGTGCAGGGGCAGTGAAGCTGTACAGGTGTGGGATTGACAGAATCAAGTGTTAATGGGTGATGTGTCCCCTCGCAAAAAGGAGGCACACCAAAGGGCCTTCAGTTCCCCTCGCAAAAAAAAGCCTTCAGTTCTTTGTGATAAGAGTGAAAAGAAAGACGACATCTTAATAACTAGATCCAACTTATGAAGTCTCGTTTTGTATTGAAGCTTGCAAGACATAGCACGCCAACTTCATAAAAAAATGAATAGCAGAACTACAAAACTTAGTAACTACGTCCGCTTTCTCAAGTGTCAACTTGTACTGAAAGTTTAGTTGAGGAAATTTGGCAACAAATAGCACACACCCACTTTACAAGAAAACAATGTGGAATATCAAGTACGTACTAAACTAAGATGTATGAAAAATTCTCGGCTTGTTTGGTTGAAGGCCTGGTAAAAAATTGCCTCGCCTGGAACTGGCCTGAGACTTGCCTGGATGATGTTTGGTTGGTATCCTCAGAAAATGGACACTCGCCTGGCCTGGAACGTTATTAGCCTGCTGAAGCACCAGGCACAAGCATTAGCCTGGCCCCGGCGTCGCGAAAAGGTCGCCTGGGTATTATTTAAGCGTTTCTTTGCATGTCGTCTAGAGAAAGCATGGGCCATCAGTTATTTTATGGGCATCTAATAGCTAGCCAGGCAAGGACGCGTATCAAACACATCCAACCCAGGCTAGCCTCACCAGGCGGATTCTCTAATCGTTTCAGGCGGATGCCAGGCTTCGATTTTATCCAGGCATGACGCCCAGGTATCAATCCAAACTGACCCTCTGTGCAGTTGCATCACCTTCAGTTGCTCCAGAATTCTGTTTGGGATACAGATCATCGCAGGCCATTCTGCTCATGATCTACGTCGGCTACTGTGCCATGGCGCAAACTGCGGATCTTGAACTCCCAAAGCTTGGCCGCCTTGCTCCTGTGGTGGCACTATTTGTGGCAATGGTGGTGTGGCTGGATCAAGTGAGGCAAGGTGGTCGGCATAAGCTTGCTGCCACCTATAGAAATCGCATCCACCACCTGACGGCTGTTGTTGATCGGCGAAAAAGGCTCAGAAATGAGATGTTGAACAGATCTGAAGAAATCGATGCAAAAACTGGACACTTACATTTTAGTACAAAGTTGTACTAAGTGAGCGTCAATTAATATGGTTCGCGTTGGCCATCTTCGCCGATTTGGGGATCGATTGAACGAGCCGCTAGGGTTTCTCCACACACGATTTGCGGATCGACCAACGGCGCCGCAGTAATGTGGTGGGTAGGTGGACGCCAGCCCCGCACCAACTGGATCGTACCGTTTGCCATGCCGTTTGCACCTACGTCCAACGTTGGTACAGTGCCATGACTCCGTCGCTATATCCTGAACGGCCGTCTACACACAGCGTACAACCGTTGGGCCTCCGTCCAAGAGTACGCATTAACTACCCGGCATACGCACCCTGGAATACCGCGTCCAGCCCATATCCCGCGACGAGTGAACGACGGAAGATACCGTGAGCAGGCGTGCTCGTCCACGCCGATGAATTTTCGCACGTACAAGTCTCATGTTTGCCACTTGTGTCCGTACCGTCGTCACTACCAATGGGGCTTTATCTGTGATGGTTGCTCCCTGTAGCCATCGATCTTTCCAAAACAAAATCTTGTCGCCCGATCCTACCTTTCATTTGACCAGGCTCCCAAAAGGTTGGTCCACCTTTTTGTCCCCGGTCAAGTTAAGCCCTTGCCAAGGCCTAGATTCATCCGTGCGCCAGACCCACTCCCATCAGAGCCTTAGTGCAATACTGTGTTTAAACAGATCTGCGACGCCCATCCCTCCCATGTGATTTGGCCTACACACTCTTGTAAGAGACAACACACTTGCCGCCATGCACCTCCCCTGTTCCAACCCAGAAGAAGGCCCGACAGCCTTTGTCCACTCTCTTCAGTGCCCATTTGGAGGCCTCCGCAATCATGAGACGATGAGTGACACGCGCTCTCATGACTTGGTTGACAAGTATTAGTCTCCCAGGTCTAGTCACTAGGCCCCTTTGCCAGCCTGGCAATATGTGTAGCACCGCAACTACAATCGGTTGCCACTCTGATCTTTTCAGTTGTCTTATACTTAGCTGGAGCCCTATGTATTTGCACGTGTCAATCTTCCAAGGTAGGGCAGATTTGACAAGCTCCTCGTCCTCAGTCTCTGCCCGAATCATAATTGTTGTAGATTTGGTAAAGTTCAGTTTAAGCCCGGATGCCACTCCGAAGATTGTGAGCGCTTCCTTGACAAATTGGAGATCCGGCCATGTTGGCTTGATGAAGAGGACGACGTCATCCGCGTACAAGGACAGTCGTTGCATCGGGCTACATCCATTGATGGTACTCAATACTCGGGCATCATGTGCCTTGATGATAATTGCCGTTAGTACGTCCATGGCTATAACAAATAGTAAGGGGGAGATCAGAGTCCCTTTGCCTGAGCCCTTTGGCGTGCATGAACTTGTCTCCTGCACAACCATTCACCAGTACTCTCGAGCTGGCTGTAGTGGGTAGAATAGCAATCCAAGAGATCCAGCGCTCAGAAAACCCTTTTTCTCATAACACCTCAAATAAAAAGGGCCACGACAGGGAATCAAAGGCTTTCAATATGTCTAACTTGAGCAGCCTCCATTAGCATTTCTCTAGTGCACCGAGCATGACATTTGTCTAACCAAGAGGGAGTTGCCGTGTAGGCATCGCCCCTTAATGAGTGCAGACTGGTTGGTCTACACCAGCTCGCCCATGCGTGGTCTAAGCCTTGCCGTCAGAAGCTTCGATGCAATCTTGGGCATGCTATGCACGAGGCATATCGGGCGAAAGTCGAACCCGGTTCATCGGTATAAGTGTGATCAATGCTTGGTTGAGTCTTCCAAATCCACGTCTATTTCCAAGGAAAAGCTTGTGTATCGCAACTATTAGGTCCACCTTGATGATCTCCCAAGCTTTTTGGAGAGAAAAAAGGTCCTATGAATCCATATGACCCTGGTGCCCTGTCCGAGGGCAAGTCTAGCTTTGGTGACCGCCCAAATCTTGTCCTCACTGAACACACGGTCCTACTCCAAGAGGTCCACACTTGTCATGCCAAGGCCATCCAAATCGAGAGTGAAGTCGCGGGCTCCGTCCTTGCCCAACATATACTTGTATGCCTT